GGGGGTTGGATGACCTTTAAAGGTCCCTTCCAATCCAAATCATTCTATGATTTCTGACTATGTGGGTTTATTTTTTGCTGTTTGTTGAGGATATCGATACATCAGACAGAGAACCATTGTTCAACAAGTCCTGCACCTCAAGAACCAGAGTCACCTGATAATATCTTCTATTGCTTACAAGCTTTATCTGCACGCTGAGTAATGAGCCCCTCATAGGGGGGATTAGGTATTCCTGACAAACATGGGGACCAGAACTACCAAAACAAGCATCCATTTTGGGTTGTATTCAAGAGAGAAAAGAGCTAAAGGAGGCAAGTAGATTTTTCATTTGCCCGAAACATGTTTTAAAGGGAAATAAAAAATTTTTTTTTGTTTTCTGCTTCTCTTCTGTACAGCCACTGAAAGCAACAAAGAACCTTTCTTTAAAGTTGCCTTGGACCGGGCTGAAATCTCTGACACATGTAGGACTTCAACCACACACAAGGTCAGGATAGTTATGAACAGTAATACGCTTTACAGGAATCACATTTGCACCATGATAGAGTCCTCTGGTGGCAGATAGATTTTTCTAAAGGTTTGGAGAAATAGTTTCTCACACCCCACAAAGAGTGGCCAAAGTTTCTGATCAGATAAAATATGACCTCTTCTTCCCTGAACATAAGCACAGTTGGGTTTCGTAATTGGCTCACACACCACAGGACAGTGCTAATGCCAGAAGGGTGGTCCCAGTCATGCTCCTGGCAATTTAAGTCCTGGCTGAAAATTACATTTCACTTCAATTCATGCAGTGTTAATTTTCAGCTTGATCAGAGAACTTTGTGATTGCCAGCGTCAACACAAAGAAAGAGGCTGTATCCTGCAGACAGGTCAGGGAGGGAGAATAACATTGCCCTTCAGTTAAGTCAAAGATTATCTTACAGTAATTGTGAAACTACAAGCTGAGGCAAAACACAGACGAACTTATGGTCTCAAAGTCCACATTCCTCTAGACACGCAGCATGGAAGTGCTAGCAGAACCATCGTCAGGATGCAATCTGAAGGCGACAGTCAGGATTATATCTTAAGAATCTGGAAGGCTCCGAGGATGGTCTCATAGCACAAAAACGGAGCAATACAGAATCTCCCCTATGCCTCTATAAATTTTAGAAAAATAAAATTATGTAAAAAGTGACTAGCCATAAGATTCCTTTGCCATATTTTCAGCATATCACATTGGTTCTCTTTTTCTGTATCAGTGACAAAGCAGCAATCACCTCAAGCACTTATAGAGCTACACAGAGCAATCCTCTTATAGATAAGATCATTGCTAGGAGAGAAGGAATGCTGATCTGTGCATTAGAAGCTGAACAGAGATGACAACCATATGGCACTTGGCAGAAGTTGGGGGGTTGTTTGTTGCTTTTCAGTATCCCAAATGTAATAAATTATAAAATAGAGATCAAATTAATAGTCAAGGAGGACTTTATCAGGGTCCCACACTTAGGAGATGCTCATCTGGGAGAATCTCTTTCAACTCATAGACTGACTTGATCAAAGGTTCTTGCTTTTCAATAGACTTCTGTACAATACTTAGACTCAAGAGCTTCACGAAACAAGAGCCAGGCTGCCTCCCAGAGAAAATTTGAATCCCAGTGAGATGTTAGTCTCATCTTGAAGGCAGGAGGTCCAACTGTCTGGAAAGCAGAAACTTTTGAATATTAATACACTCATACAATAATGAATGATAGGACTGCTAGTCTGTACTTTTTAGCAACTTGGTACCATCTAGATTGATATTTGAAAGGTCTTTAAATGCAACAGAATGTACATATTTGACGTTTAATGACATTAGAACAATTAGGCACGTTCATTATCTCTGCTGGGGGTAGGAGGGCTTAAATAGTGTTCACCTAACTTCTGGAGAAAAAATAAGACAGTGCCACAGACAAAGCTTTTATACTTTTGAGTGTGCACTATACTCAAGAAGTCCAGCATTCACTGGCTATATGAGACACTAGATTCATCCAAAGAGTGTGCTGAATTTAATGAGTAAGAAATCTTCCTAATATGGCTGCTTAGTAAAAAACTTCTCTTTGACAGACTGAGTCCTGCATTCCCAAAAGGCTGGCTAAATAAGACTTACTGTGTGCACACAGCTGAACCTCAGGAAAGGAGAAAAATATCATAGCTCTGAGAGATAACCCTCACTTTCAGTATTTTTACATAAAACTACATTTCCCATAGCAAGTTAGAAGCAGGGAGTAGATACAGATCAAGGCAAAGAAACAGTTCCACCTTAAAGATCTTCTACCACTAACTACTCAAATTTGAAAGGGTATTCAAGCATACCATCCCTATCTTACAAAAGAAACTTGAAATTGGGACCTTGTGGTTTAGGTTTTCCTCAAATCAAGAAAAGTGGCAGAGATATGATGAGCTCTGCAAAGTTCTTGAACAGAGATTAGCATTAAGCAACCACAAAAATACACAGGTAAAGCAACCTGTCCAAGTCTGGCACATGCAAAGTCTCCAGAGAAGACTGCCGTCTTCTCTGTGGATAAAGTCATGCTTTCACTTTTGGTAAATTGTTACAGAAGAACCATTTGGAAATTCTACTGAGTTGAGCTTAGATGAAGGCTTACAAATGTTTACACCAAGCACTGCAGTGCCACATAGACGCCTGAAACAGTTGTGAATGACTTGGGTACCTACACAGCTCAGTGTCACGCAGAGATATTAGCTCACATCCCAGAAGGAATACAGCCATGTTAGCGTGGCTCTGTGCCTGGGCTAATTAGGTGAGGTTTCCCCAGTTGCCAGAAATCAAAGAGTGAATCACACATATACCAGCATCCAACCTTCTTCTGAAAGCACAGACTGGAACTATTTTGAACTTCAGTTATGTGAGAATGCAAGGTGAATATAAAGACATTATGTCATTATTTTACTTTGTTTTAAAGCCAGAAGGAATCATAAATTCATCTGGTCTGACCTGCTATCGCAACTACTATACTTCATCCCCGTACCATTGTGTCTAGCATATGAACTTCAGTCAGCCTAAAGGACTGAAGTCCTTTAGAGACTGACCTATTGTACGTGTGCCACAGGCAGAGCCCAACCATAGGCTGCCAAAGCCAAGACCACAGACATAGCAGATGACCGATTAGGTAGTTGCCCAGATTACTTCAGCAGAAATCCATTCCTCATACTGCTCTGGAAGGTAAAGAACCCTATAGTCTTGCCCATTAGTTCCCAGCTCTGGCAATCAGGAAGAATCCCAACATGTAAGCAAGACACAGCAACTAATTATCCTGAAATAGGATTCTCTGCTACATCAAAACAACCATCCCATTACAAAGAAGCCAGCCTCTGGTGATGGCCAATCTCTTGACAATCCAAAGAAAAAAGAACAAAAAAAAAGACCTAAAAACAACTACTGGCAGGATAGGGAGAAAGCCTTCTTCCTGACCCCTATGAGCAAACCACAAAGGCCCTGAAGCATGATTTGAAGATGGTCTTTGTCTTAATGCCAAGCTGCAAGTATTTCAAGGATGGTGCAGACAAATTACTCTGAATACAACTAGAAAGTAAGGAGTTAAAAAGGGAGGTTCATAAATCAACTGTATAGGCCACTACACTTGACACACAGACATAGAATTTCTTTTCATAACTTGAATCAAGCACATCTTTCAAAATGATAAATAATCTCATCTTAAAGACTTGAAAGGATGATGATGGAAAAAGACTCCAGCATTTAATTACACTGAGAGTTGTGAAACTATTTTATTCCAAGGTGGAACTTTCCAAACTTCAGCTTCCATCCAGTGGAACTTGTTATGGTTTACCAGTGGTTGGACTGTCAATCTCACTATGAGGCATCTGCTCCTCACATAAGCACCTATAAAGATTACTTGATCATCGTGTTATGTCTCTTCAACTCATTGAACATGTTTATTCACAGCTCCAGGCCAGTTTTCTAGGCTCTCCATCCTTTTCCTGTCCCTCCTTCGAATCCCCAGCAATATCTCGCTGTAATTCCTGGTCTGTCAACACAGAAACTGCACTAAATGTTCTGAGATTTTACTGACTCTGCATACAAAACCAGGTTTCATGCTCCTGACTAAGGCTTCCCTTTTCATATAGGCAGGTGTTGCAATAGCCATTTTTGTCTTTGCATTGTACTCTCGGCTCACTGGAAGGTACTTATCCACAATAACCCCTGGATCCTTCTCAGAGTTACTGCTTCCCAGGATGGTATCACATTTTGAAGGTATCATCTGCATTTTTGTTTCCCAGATGTAGTAACAAGTGGTATAATTATGATAGCTGTTGAAATATTGAAATGAGTTACTGTGTGTAATATTTCTGGGAAATGGTAGAAAAGATGATGTTTATTGAAACTATATAAACATATAAAATGTTTTCTCAACACAGTTTCCCGTTTATGTTTGCACAGATGTGTGGAATGTCATCACGAAGCCTCTTCCAAGAAAGATAAATTAAATCAAAAGGTTCGAATAAGGCAAATAGCTAGAATGCTCTGCTGGTGCCTCTGCACACCATTTCTTACCTCTTTTTGTTCCCTTTTTCTAATCATAAAAGATATTCACTGCCATTGAAAAATATAAAAAACAAACAAAATTTGTATGAAGGATAAGGGACCTTGGCACCAGTAAAATGACCAACTCTGAAGCTGCAAAGAAATATGCTTTAATTTAATAGACAAAAGATAGCATTACAGAAGAAATTGTCATAATCAAAGTTGAAAAAAAACTATCTATTGTCTACTGTGTCTCTCTGTGGGAATTTTCCCAGCACAGACAGCTGTAAAGGAGGAGGGGTATTGTGAGTTTCTGTACTCTCATTCTCTCTCCTTCTCTTTCTCTGTCAATAAATGTCTGCAATCATATTCTTGAACTCCAGTGTGATTTCAAGGTTCATCTCTTCCATGCAGCTCAAACACTAATTATCCCAGCTGTAATTAGTAAGATAATTAAATACTGGCTCACTCATCACTCTACCTTGTGTCGGGTCATGATTCTCCCAGAAGACCTTGAGCAGTTTCTCAAAGCTGATGTTTTCTGGCTGATATACTACTCGTACAGCCTCTGTGTGGCCAGTTTTACCTTAAAAGACAAAATAAAAGCAGATGTTATTAGTGAGAATTAGCTAGTGCATATCTAGTTTTTCGTATCTGAGATTCAAAGCACAATCCTTTGTTTTCCCTTTTTTTTTCCCCCAAAGGTGTTTTCATTTACCATCATTTATACTTAAGCCTTTTTATAAAATATGTTATATACATGCTAACTCTAAGATGTCTGCTAGTTTGGACAAGGCCACCGTGAAATAAACTATCCAGACAGGCATTAAGGTAAGAGAGTGATGTTATTACAGTAGTTTGTTAGCTTACAGAAAAAAAATAATGTGTACTTCTTAAATATTTGTAACTGTCAACTAGTAAAATAGTTTAAAATATTCTAAATAGGACATTAAAATATGAAAACTTGTATGTCTAAGTTGTCTTGACAGCATAAAACTGGGCTTCATTTCCATGAAGTAAGATATGGATAAAATAATTGATTATAAAAACAGATTTCAAGGCTGTGTTTACATAAGGTCACACAAATAATTTCAAACTATTTCACATCATCTAAACCACTGATGTCAACGGGCTTCAAAAAGAGTCAAAGAGAGCCTGACTGAACTTCATGGCAGCAGATGAAGTTCACGGAAGATAAGCAGGTGTTACAGCACATTAAAACATATTATTCCTATTTTTTAGTTGTATTATGGGCACGATTTTTTCATTCCTTATGTGTCTAATCCCTTGTAATATTATTGAAAGATCCGGCTTCACAAAATATGAAGGATCTGGCCACTTAATTCCCTTCAGTTGTAATTAATAGATTGATGAATGCGCAGACAACTCAGGGTGAAAGTCCACTGCACTGGGTGCTACACAAGCATTTTATATTCTATATTTTATAAATATTTATATAATATATTTTACAATTTATAAATTCAGGCATATTTATTGTCATAATATATGCATGAATGGGGAAAAAAACCTTATCCTATTTTTCAGTTAAATCATAATAAGTAAATACTAAAAAAAGGTAAATCAGCCATCCAGATCTGCCTTTTGGTGGGGATGTAATAAGCTCCTTGACAGTAGGCCAGGTTCTTATTTCATTTATACCAGCATAAACTTCAGATTTACTCAACTGACTTCAATAGAATTGTTAAATTTCATGCAGTGCAACAACCAGCTGAATCTGGCCCAGTGATGGGTTCTGAATTAGCTGTCACCAAACAAGAAAAATGAGAGTCTATGAGTACCTGAGGAGTGGTCAGTAGAAACAGCAACTCAGTACCAAGAGACATTTGAATTTAAAAAAAAAAAAAAAGGAGAAAGAAATAAAAAGGATGCTAGGATATAGTAAAGAGATCTAACAGGGAAAAGTATGCCAGCATTATATCAGTTAATGGTCCACCTGAAATGAAGAAAACCTAAATGAGGCACAGAGGGGTGGGCTAGCTATTAAAAGGGATTTAAAAGATTAAATTTAGTCTAGAATGCAGAGGAGCAAAAGGGGACACATCTGGGATATCTGTAATGAAGATTTTGATAAAATCAAACTGGTTCCTGTCTAGTGTGCTTCACAATACAACAAAGATACGCTCACTGAGTTTAAAAGAGAAAAATATACAAGTTTCATGTAACTTGTAGCTAAAGCCATGTCATCCTGTCCGCCAGGGTACCGTCCAGGCGAACGATGGCCCAATTCCTCTTTCGCATGCACTACGCCTATTGAAGTCCATGGAAGCGACTCATTATCTGAAGTCAAATTCTGATGATAGGTTAGCAGAAAGAGATCATACATTTAGTAGAATAAAAACCCAAGTGAGAGATAATTGGCTTAATAATACAGTGAAATGGTCTTTCTATATTATGGCATGAACTTTCTATATTATGGCATCCCTTAGGTCAGGGATGGAATTTATTCCAGATTTCATGGTTTAATATGGCTTATCAGTGAAAATAATGGCTTTTGCCTTAGCTGAAGCCCAGGTCGGGACTTTTGTTGTTGCTTGAGATAAGGAAGGAGAGCAAACAGACAGTGGTTCATCCAGCTCTCACAAGCCTACATTGTATAACTAAAAAGAGATTAAGGAGTGGTTTCTGACTTTTTTTTTTTTTGTAAGCCAAATCAGGAGCGAATTGCTTGTCTAAGATGACTAGCTTTAGATCACAAGAGAGTTTCTTAAAGAACTTCAAAACAACAGAGGCATTACCTTTCCTCTCAATTGAAGCAGCAATTACATCTTGTCAACACTGTCTGCTCTGACTAATCCAGAAGTTCAAAGAATCAGCTTTCTTCTTTTCCTCTGAATAAGGAAATAATGGTGCTACTCTGAGAACTATAGCCTGACCTCAAGAAAAAAATCCTCAGATGTGTGGTTAACAGACTGTCAGAACCTAGAGCATATTTAAAATCAATATTCATCCTTAGAGGAAAAGCAAGGAGGTAATGCTGCTGGTCCTATCAGATTCACCTCTAATTTTCCTCAAAGCCTTTCCACAACCTAGTGGATTTTCTTCCAGAATACGATGTGGCTATTTCTACTAAGAACAATCTTAGTCATTTGTGGTGAGCACTGCTACTTCCCAACAATTTTAGTGGAAACTATACCAATCAACTGGGTACACATGAGCAAAATAGACAGGTAAAAAGCTCCATGTGGGACAGATTAACCATAACATTTTCTAGAAGCAGCACAGAGAGAAAATGGCATCAGGGGACAGGAAAAGAAACAGAGCAATCTCTCCACAGGTGCGATATGCCCCACAAGAAGGAATCAAAAGATATCACCAGGTTACCCTAAGTAGCATGTGGAAACAACCAGCTCATTGGTGCCAAATATGACTCAGCTGCAGCCAAAGTGGTAAAAGGGAACTTAAATTGAGTTCTCCCTGTTGAACTCCTTATTTCACTTTTTGTATTAGGTTTAAGTTTGACTATGAAAACAGAATCATCACATTTCAGTTTGGGTTTCATACATTTGGTCCGCTACAGTGCCAAAAGAACGGAGCAGGCATCAAACCGGCTAACCACTCCTCTGTATTGTAAAAAAATCATTGAAATATTTCTAATCAAATCTTTTTTGTAAGATTTCTTAAAATGGAGAGGCAGTAATCAAAGAGAAACAATAAACCCACTTGTTCTCGAAAAAGCTGCATGTCTTTTAACAAGAAATTTAACAGCCTAACACTGAACAGCTGAAATGATTTAAAATGATCAGTGATAGATGCTATTCTTTCAGTGACATTCAGCTCTTCCCCTTAGTGCCTCCTTCAGAATTTCTCATGAAAGGTCCATCTATATTAAGTCAGAGAGTCGTGGTGTCCTCAGTTCACCTCTTGTTTTAATTAGCTGAACTTTAATATTCCACAGCAAAAGCATGCTTCACTTTAAGTTCCAAAAGTTTTAACAAGTATGAACATTTCTAGAAGCCTTCTCCCGAAAAAAGCTCAACGTTTGAACCATGTTTTTTAAATAATTTATTGAATCACTAAATATAATTTCATTTGCTGTTAACTGTGCAAATAGAAATCCTTTATTTATAGGTGCCATTATCGGATTTCCAGTTATGGTGCTCAGTTCTTCTTCAGCTTTAGAAGGAGCTTAGCCATTGAAGAACCTCGCTGCTGGTGATAAGACTTTATTATACGGTGGCAGAGAGGGCTGTGTGCCAACAGCAGATTGTCTGTTTATCCTATATCCATTTCCCACTTAGAAAACACAGCCACTCTCAGAGGATTAGCTACAGCGAGCTCTTTCAGTGGGGATTCAAACTCTGGCAAAAATGTTCCTGTAAAGAGCAATAGAAAAAGACATCTGAGTGACACCTCAGTGCTCCTTTTCAATTTTTTTCTTCCTAATAGTGTTTAGATTTTCACCTTCTTAATCAACTCCCAGGTGAGTGCCCAAGCCGACAGATTATAGAAGCGAATTCATGCTTTTTAACTCGCTGTAACCAGTAAGCATTTAATTATTTCTGGTAAAGGGGAACAACTTCAAAGCGCTGGCTTGAGAGCACCTCACCTGTGAATACCCAGCCACCCAGCAGCGATGGCTCTCCTACGTGACAAGTGGGCTTCAGCTCTCACTAGTCCAGCCCTGGGTGAATTAAACTATAAAATTCAAGCAACACCAGAAATACTCCCTCGTGCCTCACTTTTTCAATAAAAAAGGACTTGTCTCTCTTTACCCACTGAAATAAAGGTCCTAAATCCAGTAAATGTCTAAATATACTGTAAAGAAATAGGTGGCAGATCTTCAGCTGACGCACATTTCAGAGCTTATTGATTTTGGAGCTAAAACAATTTGTGCTCGCTAAAGCCTAGGCCCTAGTGAATATGCAAAGTATTACACAAAAAAGTAGATCATCTTTCAAGCATCTGTTTCTCCAAACTATCCTGGGAATTTTTATTATGTTGTAGTTATCACTAATAAAATTTCCAGCTTCTTCCTAAACTAGCAATGTGTTAAACAAACAAACAAAAGGTTCACTACTAACATGCTAAGAAACCACACTTTGGGGATCTAATTAACTTTTACTTTTTTACCTTCAAAGTAACAAGGATGAAAAGAATGGAAATAACTACAGACCAATAGATTTTCAAGAAGTCTCCATTATGATAATTTATTTGACTTGCTGCCTCACACAGATGAGAGAATTTCACTGGAGCAGGCCCATATTTCGTACTTAGAAAAGTAACAGTTCTTGACTCAAAGAACCCAATGGACAGAAAATACACCAGAAGTCAAATTTTTATTACCTGAGTTTACTTATTTAAAGATCTTTCTGTACAGACAAAGACTACTAGGAAGTCACTCCTTATAGAATCATAGAATTGTTATGGTTGGAAGAGACCTCAAAGATCATCAAGTCCAACCTCCTACCCAATGCCACCATGCCCGCTAAACCCACTAAACCATGTCTCGAAGCGCCACATCTAGACATTTTTTGAACACCTCCAGGGATGGTGACTCCACCACCTCCCTGGGGAGCCCGTTCCAGCGCCTAACGACTCTTACAGTGAAGAAGTTCTTCCTAACAT